ATAGTTAGCATGATGAAGTAACTATTAAACACACAGATCCATTTTACAGAAATAATAATCTTATGCTGATAACTGGTTGGACAGTGTAACTTTTAAAAAAATAATGAAGATTGATTATCTTCAGAAGTTGTTTAAATGTGGAAAATGAGAATACTAATGCTTTACGTTTCACATTCCAATTTTTATATGAAAATGTGAAAATGAAAAATCTTACATAAACAACATGAGGATGATAATATAATAAAATTGTTCAACCAGCGTTATAAGGTACACAAGACATAAGTTTTACCAAATACAATACTATAGTGTAAACCGCAGATCTCAAAATCAGACCACAAACAAGGAACGCATTTCAGACTTCAGCAATACCAGGACCAAGAAAGGATTAAACGTAATTACATTTCTAACAAACCCTCATGGAAAGGATTCAAAGTCAACAAGTCACTGGTGTGGTTGAAGAAACATCAAATGCAACTTGACTAAGAAAGCACACAAGCCAACTCTATTCCCACAATATATGCACAGAGGCCACAACACCTTTATAATTGATGTAATGGAAACGAACACACATTTCAGTCTGAATATTAATCTATAGATATTTACCACTCATCACGTTGTGGCATAACAACGTTCGTCACTATGAGATTTCCACTCTCCGTCAAACTTACTATTATTCAACTCTATCAAATACTAGAAGCAGACTGGGTTCCTCTCTCAACTGGAAGACTCCAGAGGGGTCAGACTCGACCCCGCACGACACCGTGCCCTATTTCGACACGTCTCGCAATATCACATCACTTTGACGTCACCCGGACAAAGCCAAGCGCTTTCCACAGCACTAGCCACGGTGAAGTCCCGCCTTCCTCAATAAAAGAATATCAGAACCAGCAGAGACGCGTCACGTTAGTTCTGTCCTGTCCAGCGCCGCCGCCTCAGCCGGCGTCTGCAACGTGAGAACCGTGTCCGTCTTCTTGATGTGGATGGGCAGGGGCAGCGACAGCCTGGGCTGCTGCTCCCGCGGAGACGCCGACGCGGCACAGTCCTCCTCAGCCGTGCTGGCGGCCTCAGAGGCGAGAGGATGCGGCCTCAGCTCCAGCTGCACCGAGTACGGAGGGGGACTATCAACCTGGGCGTCGACATCGTTGACCTGGGCCACAACTGTGTCCTTCCTGTTGAGGGACGGCACAGCCCTTGAGACGCGCGGCGGGAGGCGCAGGACCACCGGCGACGTCGCGTCTTCCTCGGGGCTGGTGGGCGGCGACGTGTTGGCAGGGCTGCTGTCGGCCGAGGCTGGCGTCGAGGACGGCGCCGACGGCGACGACGACTCAGGCGACGACGGGTTCGACTGCGGGGGAGTGGGCGGCTCCTCCGGGTTCTGCTCCATCTCGGTGAAGATGTCGATGAGGTTGCGCAGCCCGATGAGGTAGCCGTCCTCGTGGTTGCCCTCGATCCAGGGCGCGTTGTGTGTGATGGGCCCCACCCCAGCGGGCAGCACGCGCGACTTGGCGAAGTCGATGAGCCAGATGTTGGCCTTGTCCGCGTCGTGCACGAACAGCAGCGAGCTGCCTATCACCTCGTGCGAGGCGAAGAAGTCCGACACCTCGAGCGTGGCTTTGATGGCGCGTAGCCTCTGGATGTAGCGGCTCTGAAACACACAAAATCAAGATGAGTTGGGGGGATACAAAAGCCCACGGCAGGGCAGGGCAGGGCTCTATCCACATCGCGATGGCTTTTAGTCTTTGGACCGAGATGGCAATGCCGATTATCGTGCAGCCCACGGGCCCAGGGGCCCGGCGGCGCCAACCCACCGCGGTACAGACGGACTCTTATGTCACCGACGCGAACGGCCGACAGCGGCCAGACGCGAAAGAGGGCGGTTCGATAAACGGCCAGTTACAGTACTTTGCACGGCCCGAGAATGTCCCCAAGCTCCGATACTGTACTCATTTGCGCAAGTAGTGGGACTGATCCCATCAGCCTTGTCTGTGCGAAACTACTCACCACGGTGTGGGGGAAGCCCCGGGTGAACTCCCTGAAGGCGTTGATGATTTGGTCTCTATCCTTGGTGGTCTTGAAGTCCTTGCTGGACTGACCGTCGCTCTTCTTCAGGCCTTCGATGCGGAACCCGAGCGTGGCAGTGGAAGACATCGTCTCCCGGAAGACCATGTACCTGTCGACATTACAATCATTGTAAGTATTGAGATAAGAAATAATGGTCCACGTACACGAGGAATGGAGGGCCAGAGGTGTGTGAAGGGCGATCGTGCGATACGAAGCATGTGGAAATGAGAAATGAAAATTACCTCGTCTTTGTGACGCCGCCCGCTCTCCGCTCGTCCTCGGTGGGCTCGTCGGGGTTGACGGCGATCATCTTCTCATACATGTCCTTGCGCAGCTTCTGGTTGCCGCGTGCCTTGTTGAGCTCATCCTCAAGGTACGTCCTGACGCCCATCTTGCAGTCCATGACGCAGGGCTTGTTGAACTCGCTGAGGAGGTCTTGCAAGTGAAGGTAAGAATCTCCCTCCTCTGACGTAATCTGGCCCTTGTAGTCCGGCACGTAGGGCTTTAGCCGGTCCTTCATCAGGGACTTGAACGCCACCTCCTCGGCGGTGCACACCTTCTTCAGGATCGTGCCAGGAGTGGGGCCCGCTCGAAAGTTACCTGCAAAAACAAGACCAGAAAATCAAATAAAATACGCGAGGCTTCAACATAAAGCAGAAAAAGGTGTGCCTTTCGCCACATTGGCAAATTCAACTGAACAAACAAGCAGTGTGACGCCTTGTGTCTTTGAGCACGCGCGGCGTCCCAGGTCCCAGAACTAACAGGCGCCAGCCTGGCTCCTCTGACGTCACGAGGCACTACTCTACACCTTACTACTACGTCTTACGAGCGCATATTTGCACCGCGTCAAAAGAGAAAAAGTGAGAGATAAGTAATGAGATAGCCAACACCGTAGCAGGCGCTGACCGGGCGGGCCTGGCGAGGCGCTCGCCGGCAGGGCGCTGTGCAAACCGCACCGCAGGCCCCCAACAGTGACTTGATTCCGCATAAATAATGCATGTGATCCGGGCCCCGACATGCGCTATTAGTCCCCTATATTTAGAACGGATTAAGCTGACGCAAAATTAAGGCGACGGAAATTGGACGTTGATTTTATTTTAACGCCTCTCCTTTTATCTCCGACGACGCGTCAAAGATTGTTGACCACGAAAAGGCAAAGATGAAAGTGAAATGGAAAAGAAGAGTTGGGATCAGACAAGTGGCTCCAGGCTCCAGACTCAAGACAAAGAGTTCGGGAATTCTAATAAAGGGGGCGAGGGGCACGCTTGTCTCGCTTTTTGCTGGGCCAGATCAAACCCCGTGCCCGTTAGGCAACCCATCCTACCTCTCGACACCACAGTGCCGCAAGGGTGGCGGCTCCCCACTCACTCCGGGGCGGCGCGGGGCAGCGCGGGGCGGCGCGGGGCGGCCTTCCCCATCTCTCCCGTTTCAGGAGTATTTACGTCAGCCGCTGACGCAGCCAGATCCTCCGGGGTGTCCGCCCAGTGGCGTACGCCCCAGCCCCAGCGGAAAGCACGCACGCACGCACGCACGCACGCACGCACGCACGCACGCACGCACGCTAGAACGCACGTTCGCACGCACATTCGTATCACACGTGGACGGCACGTTTCTACATTCCGCTACTACGGGCGAATACCCCGCCACGCCACACGTGCCTTGTGCCTACTCGGGTTCAAATACCCCGCCTATTTCTCCCTCCCTCCCAGACGATGCAGCCTCGCACGCAAGCGAGATGCACCACAAGAGCGCGGCGGGCGAGCGAGCGAGCGCGATTTGGGAATGGCGCGCGTGGTGGGGCGTGGCGGGAACGAGTGCGTGTCTAGCTGCAGGTATTGTTGGCCCCGTTCCTTTCGGGTTGGGCGGGTGCGTCAGCCGAGCCCGAGCACGCCTTGCGATAGCCTCCTGCGTCACTCCCTCCCAGCCAGGCCACGCCAGAACAGGCCTCCCACATACGACCGTGTCGCAAAACCGAGACGAGACCAATTTACATTGACGTGGCGGCTCAGTGTCATCGAGATGATTCTAGCAAAGAGGCAGAGTGCACGCAGGTGAGGGGTTGGGAACACTACCGGGAACCAGGGACGGAAACGTCTCGAATGAGGGATGGCGACTTTCTATGCAATTAATTAGGCAAGACAAACTCGCTTAAGCGACAATTCTCGCTTCAAGGGAGGTATATATGTGACAAGTTTTTACCCAACACAATCCCAAAATTAATATGGAATGTAGATTTTACTCCACTAATAAAAATAACGGGAAATCTTAAAGGAACTAGAAAATTTACTACTGTAATCATTACGGGCTTACCTTGGTGACCGGCGAGCTGAACCCAAAAGTACTGCTGGTTCTTGTAGTTCTGGACGAAGGGAGACCAGGTCACAATATTTCTTATCTTACGCCACCCGGAGGGCTGCAACAGAGGGCAAAAATCACGCGTTAGTTCAATGTGTCCTTTTCCTCGGGCACAGCGCACGGCTGCTGACACTAGAATTAGAAATATTCGACCTCGCGAAATTCAGATAAATAATAATGCGCCATTCAGTGGCACTCCGGTGGCTCGCGCGCCACGATGGCAGGTACAATAATTTAGCGCGCGAAGATGGGGCTATAAAAATCGTGATCATTTCAAAAAGCAAACAAATCCGCCATACAGATGCGCAGCTCCGAGCGCGCGCGTGGGGTATGACGTGCGACGGGAGGAAGCGCCTGGAACTTACATTGCAGTTCATACGCCTCGCCGCGGGGTCCAGCGAGCCAGTGGCGCACAGGGGAATGCGGCTAAATAACAGCAATAGCATTCCCCGCGCGAGAGCGCGCGCGAATCAATATTTGCGCCACCCAACCTCGCAAACACAAACCGCAATAATTGAAAAGGCGGTTTGCAGCCGACAAAGTTTCGTTATTGCTGCTCTAACTCCCAGTTTACACGCCTCACGGGTCCGAGGGTCACCCGAGGTCACCTTGCTGCAGACCATTTCAACACAGTTTGACACAGTGACAATATCTACAATTTAAGAACGGTTTGATTGCGTTCCTTAATTAACAGTTTCAATCTAAATTTTGTACCGTAAATTTGTAGAGTAAGCGACACGAAATAACAGTTTTTAAATGTTAATTTATTTAAAGTAAGTAAGTGCGACATCGATTTTTACAATAATTTCTGTAGCTTGCAGTGTGATTAGGGTGGTCTAACCTTTAATCCTATGGAACTTGCAGCAACTTAAAATTAGAAATTCATCAAGCGATGACCCGAAGGTATCCATAGCATCTGCCCTCCGCATTATCAAGCGCACAGTCCTGCAGGGCATGCCATTACTACAGCGGCGCTTTGGTTGCATCACTCGTAAAGGCAAATCGTTTATATCTTTCGCGAGAGCGCATTTTAGCCAAGTCAACAAAGAGCCGCAAATATCGTATCGTACTTTAAGCGAAAGATAAGAGCATGATGATTTTGCCCCGTTTATTTTATGAAATGGCAAACAATGGCAACAATGGCAACTCTTTTGCGATAAGGGCTCTTCTTTTTACACCGGGGAGATTAATTGACAGTTTGAAATAAGGTCGAAGAGATAATAGTATCCAACAGGGTGAGTTCTTCTAAGTTTGACCTGAGCGGACAGTTGAGCGTGGTACCAGTGGCCCTCGGGTACAGACAGTTGTTAATGAGCAAGCCACACAAGCACTTTGGCAGTAGCAACTGCGAGGAACAACACTTTACGATATGTACGTAATATGTTGGAAAGCATCCCCAAAATCGTGTTCGTGTTTTTCCTGAACACTCTCTTTTTAGAGCCGGGGGGGGGGGGAGTAGCTTATTTACCGTAACTGGCCACCGTACCAACCATTTTTACATGGACTAGCCGTTACAGACTCCGCACTTAAAACTATTTTCGTCAAAAACGTGCTACATCAAATTCGCTCGAGTTGCCCCTTCTCTTTGTACATTGTGGTTATTTTCTTAAATGCTTCAAGATCAATTCATAACGAAAAGCAATAAATTCATTTTGGGTTTCACACAAAACTAACCCAAGTCGACACACATACAGACACGCACACACGCCAAGAAGGCGAGAGCCGTACCGAGAGTCTCCTCCTAAGCACCGGGGCCCTGCCAAGGCCGGCGCCGCGGATGGGGTTGCCGTTGGCCAGGCCGAGCCTGCTGCATGGAGCGAACGTCCTCTTGGCGATCACGGGGGCCACCATGGTGACGGCTGTCGGCTGGAGCGCGGTGCGCGCGCGAGACGAGACCGAACTGTCGTTGTTCACACTCGCGAAACGTGTCGGACAGCGAGTAAACCACGCGAGCTGGCGCCCTGAGCTGCGTGGCCGGTGGGTGTGAGAGAGCGACTGGCTGCGGCCGGCGGCCGGGGCCGGGCGGGCCATGCTTTGCAGGAGGAGAAGTCGCCGGCGGGTGCCGCGGTGGTGGGGGCAGCGGCAGCAGCTGCCGCAGCAGCAGACGCTTATTATTTTTATCAACCGTGGACCCCATTGGTCCACCAGCGCCACATACGATGACACCCCCACCGCATCATCGCCGCCAAGATCGCACAGCTTTCACCAAAAGCGCTATTGTGAAAGAGGCTGCTCGCTGCCTCCCCCTGCTTCGACTCGATGAAGCGTGCTCCGCTAGCTGATATTTATCCTCGGCGATCCACGACGGTCATCTCGAACGGCCAGGCAGTGACGGCCACGACGACGATCCGCGCTCCCGTGCGGGCGGCCACCGTGTCGCGTGTCGCCGCGCGCCGCACTCCGCGGACTTTGCGTAATGAGGGCCAGCCCGTCATCACGCTGACGAGGAGGATCTGCATTTTTATGGTCGCCCACCTGCGACGCACCTTTTTAAGTGTCCTGCCCGTCTGCCAACGCACGGTAAAAACAATGGGCGATTTTTTGAGGAAAAGAGGGGAAACTTTTGAGGAAACCTCATTTGAAGAGAAGCTCCTCAGATTTTCAGATGTTCTAAAAACTTAGGATTCCCCCTTTTCTTGAGGAGAACTCCCCAGAAGCTGAGGATTTCCACCTCAAATATGGGAGCTCCTAAAAGCTTTCCCTCTCTCCTCAAAAAATCAGACATTGTTTTTACCGTGCGGCTTGGGGGGACTCTTCCCCTGCTTGCTCCAGCCCTTGGCGAGAGCATGTCTGTGTGTGTTGCGTTTTTCTGAGTGACCGGACCACCCATTATCGGCCAACAAAGGGGGCCATTGCCATTCGCACAGACGTCATTCTCGCGCCCGGCGCGGCCTGGCCGTTCGCCGCGCCCGTTCTGATATCGAGACGCAAGCGTTTTTAGTTGAATCGGACAGATCGCGAGCACAGAAAAATAACATGGGGTAGGGGGAGTGTAAGGCGGCGGCGGCGGCGGCGGCGGCGGCGGCGGCGGCGTGCGGAGCCAAGTACAGCTGCACTCGTCCCAGCACTTATACTACCTTTCACCAAAACCCGAGTACTACCCCAACGTTTTCTTTCCGCCGCTATTCTCGTTTCAACCCACTAAATATTTACTCACTTTTTTTTTCTTTCTCGTGAACTCCAACTGTCAGCTTCACATTCATACACTTACTACATTTTTACTCATTCTCTTCTTTTTTTTGCCGACTTTGGCCCTCTTTCCCTCCCCATTCCTACCCTTCCCTCGCGGCACGTGGGGCTGCCAGTGACGTGGTGCTTCCGCCGTCCGCTGGAGTGAGCTGCGCGGGCGTGCATCCGGTGCAGTCTGTGCATGTGGCGCGGCACGGCACCGGCACGGGGGCCACAGAAAGGGAAGGGCGCACTATACTGCCATGTCACGGTATTGATAAAAAAAAAAACACCTAAGTAAATTACTCGCGAAAACAACGCACACACCTGTTGAACTCCTGCGCCGTGATATAGGATCACGACATCATCGCCGTGTTACGGCCTTAGATAGTGTATACACAGACAATAGTTGCCAGCCAAAGTATTCACCAGAGTAACAACTCTTCACACCACCGAAGTGTATGTAGTGGGACTTCCCCCCTATCAGGTGTAAGGAATAATTTCTCCATTGCTCGTATGAAAAAGTCGGCACAGAGCCGGGGATGGTTCTATTGATGTCTGTGATCGCTTTGTTTCGGAATACGTAATGCTGTGACTCACCGGGACCAAGTGGCTTCCAAAGAGGGTGAATGAATCCTCCAAAACTGTTCAAGAATGAGTGCATCTCACGTGCTTTCACGGGTTAAAACCAAAACAAAGAAGCATCAGGGAGAAGCAGCCCCAAAAAATAATTCTGGCATTAAAATTGGTCCCGATGCAGTCACTAGTTCACAGTAAACAGTTGGCGTGCTAAACTGGTTCTCCCCATCGACGCAGCAGGTGAAGAAACCTTGCGTGAACGATGTTCGGGGATTTACCACCATCCTCATTATCTGGGTCGGTACGTGCGACCGCGGCAGCGCCGCAGACTTTTTAATGACGTATCCGGAGAAAGGGGGTGGAGGGGGAGGGGAGGGGAGCACTTCAATGCGCACTTCGGATCGCTGTTGCACGCTTTAGCGTACAGTCATTGCTCGGCGTCAACTCATGTCACGTGTCTCGGCAACGACATGAGACGATTTGATTTAGCTTTTCTCTAGTCTCTTCTTTCTCAAAACCGAGCTGAAAACACCGACTTTGCTCCGTACTTGCCTTCTTTACAGTTATTCTGAATTTAATCAATTCTAGAAAAACATTTACGCGACTATCTAAACTTTTTACTAAAAAAATTAACTAGTAAGAAGAAAGTATTAACACTTACAAGTGTTAAACTGCGGTGTTGGCCATGCAGCTTTTGATAAGTTCCTTTAAAGTGTTTAATTTCACCATTCAACACTTCCGTACTTAAATTTTCAGACCAACATGTGTGCATTTTAACGTTGAGCACTTCGATTTCGTGCCATTTGCACACTCTTATCAGTGCAGACTAGAGGTTTCTGCACGATATTCAAATCGCCCTCGTTCGGAAAGTCTCGAGCGACAAATAAATGTACTCAGCTGAAAACAGTCCAAAAACCAAAATGTTCTAGCATTTTCGTATTTGACCGTATTTTTTTCTGCCCTACCTTGACACAACACTATAGGCACGGCGCACTGCTTCACTGTGGTATTTTCAAACATTATGAAAACACCCATAAACTGACTTATTGACGGCGTGTCAGCAGCCAACTGTATCAACGTGCGACTTTGGCTCTCATCAAAGCTGCAGTCTGCAGCGGCGCACGCGAGCGTACCCAGGCATACCATGAGCGCAACACTTGAGTACCCAAACAGTCGCGGGCCACATGGTCGGCGAGCGACCCCGCCGTGTCGGGTGGGTGGTCATCCTCCAGGAGGGCAAGGTTCGGGTCATCGCCGAGGAGCTGCGCAAAGGGTTATCGGCGTAGTCCCTTACATAACCAAAACAAGAAGCCGAAGTCGAGCCGAAGCCTTCGCCGCTTCGGTGTGCGGCCGCGCCGGTCCACCGGTCCACATGTCCGAACCGCGACGTGTTCGGGCAGACCACGACGTGTTCGGACAGCGATCGAGCACCCGACGGCACGGCACAAAACCGGGTGCGCATTTGACAAACGGTAATCTTATATCATTGATATCGAACAACGGCAAATAATGTACGTCGTTTGTTTATTATTTTTGGCATAAATAAGAAAAATAAAATGTAAGTCCCAAAAAAGTTGAAACGGTAACGAATCACCGTGATACTAAGTAACGATATTTTGTCCATTCGCTGTTTTCAAGAGATTGGCAGCAAGCCAGGTGAGACGTTTACGCCTTCTGAGCGTGTTTACACGCAAGCTGTGCCATATACGCGCTTGGGCTTACAAAGCAAGTAGTGACGTCAGTGACTGTGTGGATCAAAAGTGTCGCGACGATGAAGCAATCATCAACAACTGTCATAGTGCCGAGTCAGTCCGCGCGTATGCACGGCATCCTGGAGTCCGGCGGACCATCCGACCATCCGGCGCTCTGCTCCAGATCGCTCCCTCACAATCGGACAGATGTCGCCGCCCCGCCCGCGCGACATAGCGCCCGCGGACAAAAACATGCCATAAATGGGTTAACGAACGACTCGGAGGGGCTGGACGGTAAAGTTCAGGAGCAAATACGAGATAAGTGAGAGGGAGAGCAAGACAGCCGAATGGAGGGGCACTTCCGATGGAGAGAGAGAAAGAGGGGTCGAGAGTCGAGAAAAGAAAACTGAAAAAAAAGTATGGCCGCGGGGGGACGCTGCGAGTCGATAACACACACTTGATGCAACGATCGATTAGTCGCGCGCGAAGTTTACAACAACGGCTCTGCGGGGCGGCTATTTATAGACACGGAGGGGGAGGACAGGACGGTTCTGCAAGACGACATTGAGCGGGCGTGCCGGACTCGGAGCCGGCCGCGGGCTGGACAGCACGGAGCCGGGGGCGTGGCGAGGGGCGGGAG